TTCTCAAGCGTATTTGGCACACACATGACAAGAGAATACGTTGGCACGAAGTTTTCGGACGCAAAATTGTGCTAAGACCGACTTACTCTCAAATCCCCAGAAATGCGATCCAAGCCGCCCAAACCCTGTCTGCACCTCGTCACTTATCGCCAGTCCGCCACGTTTTTGTACAGCTTCGAACGCTCGCTGAAGGAATCTAAACAGCGAAACTTGTGAGACACCACAAGGCTTTCCAGATTGAGGCTCACCCTTTCGTAAACTGCATCGTTCCACCCACACCCTGAATGGATTCTATCAATACAGCGGCAGGACCAGTGGAGGCAGGAAAGTCGTGACGTAATGTTTCTTCGAATTGACGCATGTAACTGAAAAGCCCTATTGAATTTCGTCGTCGTATTACTAGCCCTACATAAGAGCTCTTGCTACTACACCTCCAATCAAAATCATGATTCCTGTGAGAAGTTCTGAGAGTTCCTTCTGCAAATGATTTGAAAATGCACATGTATGTTGATCCTTGCCGACCTTATATCATGCAATTTACCCATCTCAAAAATAGCCCAGGAAAGAAAGGGAGTTGTGAAGGTCAAACATGATTTTTTTCAGGTGTAAAGCCCTTCAGTTAAAAAAGGGAAAAGATGAGAAGTACCGATAGTGAATTTTTGCAACTGATCCCGAGCTGGCTTATATCCACGAAACAGCGAAGAAATGATACAAGACTCATTGCTGCTGGAAGGTTTACATGATCACCTGCGACCCCAGTTTGTCCCAGGGTCGAGGGTAGATTAAGGAGGCATGGGAAGTTGGGTAGTGAGGGGGACTCGTGAGAGGGGTCGTAATCAAGGAAGAACTCGTCTCATCGCCATCGTGCATTGTCAGAGGTTTATGTCTCGTCTAAGGTCAACTGTAAGAAGGACGCGACTCGTTCTGCCTCCTATATTGCTCGAAATCAAGTGCGAAAGAGCCTGATCTGAGAGGACGCCGATAGTTTATTTTACTTCCCGTCATTGAAACTTCTGGACACCCACTACTTCAAACATGAATAGCGTATCCACTCTACGTCGGCGAACTGTGCGCCTTCAGACAATTGAAAATTTCGTTTTTTCTTTTGCTTTGTACTTTTTTGAGGACACTCCTAAATACTATTAATTTTATGGCGTTCCTATATCACCGTACTTGTCTGTGTGGCCATGCACTCTCCATTGCTGCAGGAGCAGTCACGCTTCGTTTGATCTCGCGAATCGCAAGGCACTTCTTTCCTCCCGACATGGTCCTGAGACTACGGATCGGCTGCCATCGCCTTCAGAACGCCGAAACCTGATGGCATTGGCTGTTTCCAAGTTCCTAGAAATGAAAAGTTTGGTACCAATACTGCCGCGATTGAACATTTCACAGCAATAAACCTAGGACCTTCTGGGAAGGCAGCACCTGCTGGCGCTTCACCTCTTTGAGGCAGAAGCGCCGATGTTCTGAACCAAAGGTGGGTCTTATGGCAAAACGAAGGGGATTACCTTTTTCGCGCATCTAAAATATGAGATGAAGACGCTGTACCCTCATGACGAATGCGAATTCCTGCCCTCTGCCGCACACCACGCAACGCCAGGCTGCATCTTCTAAAGCCTTCCTTGTGGAGGCGGTCATTTTACGCTCTGCGCCAAAAGTATCTGACCCAGAGGAAAAGAGCTGTTACTCATTAATATAAACCAAGTAGAACTTGTCACGTGCACGTCGATTTATTGTAGATTAAATGTCGTATTAGTTCAATATGTCAACGAGTCCCCGTATACAACTTTTCATCGATTTTGGTGAGGAAGGTGTAAGGTGAAATTGGTGCCAAATGGCACCAGCATCAAAAATGCATATTATATTTATGATCAGTGCACTGAATAACCCCTTTGAAGTAATAATAGTGCCAGCTAGCTCCTTTCATCGCAGATGATCTTAATCATGAACGAGCATAATGCGGTCTAGGTCAGTTCCAAACGCGAGAGGCGACGTAACAATAGAAATGCGAACAACAAAGACCACAAAAGAGATAGCATAGCGACACTGCCACAACGACGCGGGCAAGCTGGGCCGGCATGAGTCTGGTGAGCATAGATCATGAGCTTTTAGCTCGTTCCCTGTGCAGTTCGAGCCTGGAAAAAGCGCTGGCTTAAAGGCTGCTGATTCAGGTGAACTGCTCACCTTGCGCATTGGACTTTCCATAAACCGCGAGGTGTGCCTTTAAGGACGTAAGATATCTAGCAATATTCTGATTTACCTGGCAATATTTTGCTGGTTCTAAAAGTTCATTTATCATCTCTATGATATTGACTCACCAATATTTGTCGCTCCAATTACAGCCTGCGTCATACCGTGATATCCATTACGCATAGACAGCAAATCGAATCGACCTGTATGAACTCGGGCCAGAGTCAGAGCAAGATCGTTCGCCTCAGATCCTGAGTTTGTGAAAAAGCATACCTAGAAATGAAAAGGCAATTATGATTAGGGCCATTTTCTCTGCAGACGCTGGTGAGTGTCATGGTCTGGAGCGACAGCTCGTTCTTCACTAATTCTTGAAGCAAGCAAGCAACAACAATTGGTAAAAAACGTATTGGTTCGGCTGTTAGCATAGCTGTCCCTGACACGCCCCACCGTCTGCAGTGAGAACTGTTATGTGTGATGCGCACTTCGCTGACGGCTTCCGGCGTAAATTACTTAAAGACACATGGTACGCTCAAACACATTGAGGGTGTATGAGACTATCAGCCCCCCAGCTGTCGATGTGTCGTGGTCCCCCCGCCCAAAACTGCACGGGGTCAGAGTACGGGACCGTGGGAAAGTCGTAATTCCTTGCTACGCCGCCCGTTTTTGCAAACTCACGTTTTTACTAACACCGTCCGCGCGGCGCGGTCGCGTGCAGCTCTCTTGGCTTTTTGCCAAATTGCGCTTCGGATAAGCGTCGCACTCGTTAGTTTGAAGTATTTCTACAGGATTAGAGCCAGATTCGAGCCGGATCGCAGAAACGCACACGCATTTTAATTTACTGCGTTTCCTTAGTTTTTTCAATTTTGTTTTATTTACATCTACATTCGTTGTTGTTCATTTCTAGCCTTTGTCATCTTCATCACCTTCTATTCGGACTTTGAAGCATGAGCAATACCTCAAATGTTAGGAAATTGCGTTTTGCTTGTATTGTCATGTTTTATTGTCATGTTGTCCGTTTTATTGTCATGTTCTGTGGGAGTGCGCGGCCTCTGAGGATAATTGCAGAAAGCGCACTTTGCTGTTGAGTTTAGCACTCTGTCCATCATCGTTCGTTCTTATTTGTCAGGTACCTAAAATGTTTCGCATAAAGTAAATTGGCTGTACTTGTATTCCAAAGCGCAATTACAGGACTTGGCAAAGCCAAGAGAGCTGCACGCGACCGCGCCGCGCGGATGGTGTTAGCATAAACGTGAGGGCGGTGTAGCAAGGAATTACGACTTTCCCACGGCCCCGTACTCTGACCCCGTGCAGTTTTGGGCGGGGGGACCACGACACATCGACAGCTGGGGGTGATATCTCATACACCTTCCAACTGTGTTTGAGCGTACCACTTGTCTTGAATGGCCATATTCGTGCTTCCGCCGCACTCACACGCACATCGAATCACACCCCCGACTCCTCTGGATTGCGATCGCAATAGTGTGCAATACTAACGAGATCTTGCTTCACTCCCATGGTAACTCGTCGAGGAAAGTCAAGCACGACTAAGCCACGTGCGCATTCCTTAAGGGGTGGCAAGAAGCCGACAAAAAGGAGCCAGATGGCTCGCCTGCGTAGACTGTGCGCGCGTGGCCCTCATACTCACCACATCAGTGCCTATCTCATTCACTGCAATGTGATGCATTTTCACGTTTGCTTTGACGCCTGTAATTTAGTGATGGACAATCGATTGTAAATGTATTCATTTGACGTCATGTTTGTTTAATTGCCAATTTTCATGGTAAAATCCGTTTGGCGCTCCGTGTATGTCTCAGATAGTGTGCTTATACTCAACTCTATGCATACTTGATATTATATTACTCCCCAACATACGAAACAAGAATGCGTCGGCCTGCGAACGGCTTTGAAGTATAATTTCAAAGTGGGATCAGGGAGGACAGCTGCATGCAAACAGCAATGTAAGGTAATACCGATTCTGCCTAGACCGCATAAGACACTGTAAAACTGTGCGCTTCCACGTCCTATTCAACCCGAAGTGCTGTCCTCGAACAACTCCCACTCCTCTCCTCGGAGTAAATCTAGCAGACTTTTAATACCTCTACAGCTAAATACATATGTACCCCGCAGTGACCGGATCGGCCATATCTATAATTGTTCGGTTCTTTGAAGTCCTAAGTATAAATAGGTAGATCACCTGGGCATGCGCAGGAGAGCCTGCGCCAAATTAGAAGGTACAGGAAACCGTCAGCAGTAGCGCAGTTTGCGCTTGCGATGGCCATATCGATAGCACTGTTAGCACTGATGTTTTTAGAAACACGTGTTAAACTCAGCTTCCCTTGAATATACATATTCATCAACGGTGCTCCCAGAATTATTGAAGCATAAGCATAAAGTTTTTCAGCATGAAGCATTTCAAGTCTAATTTCTGACTCGACCTTGGTAGCAAACCTAAAAGCTCATGGAAAGAGTTACTTCTGGGATGTAAACAAAAAACTTTGTACTTCACAACGTTCGATCCACTTCCACATCGGAAGTCTTTGTCTGCAAAAGACGCGCTACTATAAGATCATGCACAGAACAGGATGCCCTGGCATAAATACCTCATCACTTATGCCAGAACAGGGAAAGCTTTGCGCGTGCCGAACCGATGATTCGAATGGAATTCGTGGACATGAACTGTGCCGCCAACGATGTACATCGTTTAGGAAGGAGGCTGCAAGATCTTCAAGAAGCGCTGCCGCCCCTTCCTCGTCCAGAAGACCTTCATGAGACGATCTCACGGCATGCTTTTGAGTTTAGTGATTGTATCCAATGCTGCTGAAATTTAGAAACTCTCTTGAAAACCTATGTCCTTTTTTAAGGCTTCTAATCTCTTCCTCAAGCGCATGAAATACAAATTTCTCCGAGTTCATGCTGTCTATCTGCGCATGAGCTTCCCGTAGGATCTCAATTGCGTACCCTATATGCAGTGCCTCCACTACTGTTCGCACCGGATGAGCGATCAAGAATGGAGTCACCTCCTAAATGCGCCCCGTAAAGCTCTCGGTGAAGGTGGAGACCACCGAAACATTCGCAGGCGACCAGCTGCAGGACATTGCCTCATGAGGTACAGTACTTCAAGATGGATAAAGGGAATTCATGAGTGAGTACGCCCCCGAACAAACAAGACAGACCGATCTTCGGAAAAGAGAAATCCGTTCTCGCCAATTCGCTAGAGCGCTTGCAGCAAGTCGTGGTCCATTCTCGAGATGAAGTTCTCCACAAGGCCTTCCTGCAACAAGAAAGGATGCGGGCGAAGGGCCTCAAAGCTGCGCAAAGCTTGAGCATAGGAAACTGCGTGATGAAGGAATACTCTGAGCTTGCAGAGGGGGTAAAGGCGGAAGAGGAAGATGCAGAAAGTCCGGCGAATTGTCGCATGGAAATGGGCCCTGGTCTCTCCACCAGGGCTGTTGATTACAAGCAGTCCGACGAGGAAGGTGACGTCGAAAGACAAGAAATCACCAGAGCGCGATGAAAGGCAAGGACGCGAAGCTGCTGGCAACAACGAGCAAGCTGACCCTAAATAAGAGTGCGAAGAATTTAAACCTAAGTCAGAAAAGTGCGCACCAATCCCTCTCGAGCTTAGACGACATACTGAGACAATTTGCGCATGAGCCTGTGCTCTTCAAGAAGAGCAGACCGCGGACGAATAACCATCATCACGAGAGGTACATGCGGTGCGCGTTCTGCGGAGCCGTGGGCCACCATTATTCTGACTCATGTCCAACGGTCACAACTGTCGTCGACCGCAGGGAAATATTTCTAACGCAAGGCAGGTGTATGTATTGTTTGGAGGAACATTGCACCCGGGGCGAAGACTACCCCAAACATTTCACGAAATGTTCTCACTGCCAGGAGATCTGTCACCACTGCTCTTTGCGATTTGCTGCAACGGAGTGACGAAATTCGAAGAAGATCGGCAAAGCGAACGAGGCGCTGGGGGACCCTGGACACAGTGAATAGCAACTAGAACTGCGCCTCCTGAGACCAGCGCTCACATGACGGCACCGAGGAGTATCCCGACTCCGTCTCTATCTTGCGATTGAAAGTAAAAAGCAGTACCATTCTACACTATCCCTTTCTCTGTCAGTCTAGTGTGAACAGTGAGAACGTCAAGCGCAGCTTGGCTACGTGCTTTCTTTTAGGAGGGGCAAGAAGCCGACAAAAAGAGCCAGGTGGAGAGCCGGCATAAAGGACTGTGCGCTTCCGCCTGCCCTAGCTATCAGTACCTTATACACTTGATTAGACGCTTGTTTCACTTTTGATTTGACGCTTTATATTTTGGTGGATCTATAATAGGTTGTAATAGATTTATTTTGTGCAATCTTCATTTTGGATAACCCAAGTTTGGCATAAAATCGTTACCCTCCATCTTGTGTCTGGACTCAGAAGTGCGCTATACTCACAGCTACCATTGATATAATTCAATACAATGCACATGTTGTTGAGCTTGATAAGAGTATATGCAGGGAGAGAATGCCAGACATGCAGACGAGGCATCCCAACTTCTCAAGAAGCTCCCTGATACAACACTCCTTATCCCTGAATGGGGTAGGCGTGGCATTTGAGCATGGCATAGGATGGTTTATTCTTGGGATATTTCAATGTGAGACAACAGTCATTCTGTTCTTCGTTAGACAAAGACATCATTGCAACTGCTTTGAAATGAAAATACTTCACGAAAGCCTTGGCCGCCGCCACGTTCACTTACAGTGAAAACAGAGGAGTTCAGGGCAGTCGTTGTTGGGATTCCCCAACAGGGGCGGGTGGTCGTACTTGGTCGCTGGGGGTTGTATTGAGGCTGATAGGTGGAAAACTCTTTTCGATAGTTGATTTTTCTTGTTTCAGGGACGGGGGAGGGGGTCGAATTTGCTCGTTGCTGGGAGAAGGGGAGGGACGTATTTGGGCTGAGAAAAATTTTTTTGATAGTTGAATTTTCTTCTTTCGGGGACATTGTAAAAGTGGGAGTCGTGTTTGCTCGTTGTTGGGAGGGAGGTCGTATTTCCCTTCGGACTTTCTGAAAGAAGTTGTTCATTTTTTTCGTTCGGGTACGCAGCCAGGCCTACCACATCTCAGGATTTTGAGCGTACCAAAACATCGAATGCGAACTGAATAAAACGAGCATTTGTAGATCATTTCCCCTTTGTGGCGCATGGTTGATTGTATAGTGTAGCATGAGGGAAACAACACTTGATGCTAATTATAAGAAGCACATTTTCATTGGAGGGATGACCAGCTAGGATGCAGCAAAACCTCGGCAAGCTCATTCTTCAATTTGAGGGGATCAGGACTTCGACTCAGTGGCTTTTATGAGTTTACTGATGCATAGCACAGCTTTTCTCAATTCTTATCGTTTTAGTACATATAAAGCTCACGGTCAAGTGCACTTGGCCCGCGCAAAACGCTTTGGCCTGCACAAAACGAAAGAAGCATAGAAAATCACCTTCATATGACTGGGAAACTTCGACGTAAGCTTTTCGGCATATTCCAAGATCGGCTCGGTATAGTAGATAGATGTCGTGTGCCACAATTTATCGAGTTGAGCTTTTAGTGCTGCATTTACCTTTCTGAAAATATGCAACTTTCAGGGGCTAAACATGCCATTGTTAGGATCTCACCCTCTCCAAGCAAGAACAGCACTGCTGTGCGAAAACTAACAAGAAATCGCACTTGATCTCGATAAGAATGATTTGGGATTGTCCACTTTTCCCGTTTCACGCGCTCTGTATCACGGCTAAATTTTGAGCAATGATGGCAGAGTGGTAAAAGCTCACAGAGGAAGGGCTTGTATTTGGACTAATGTATGAAAAATTTTCTTCGATAGTTGATTTTTCTTGTTTTAGGGACGTTCTTAAAGGGGGGGGGGGGTCGAAGTGCTCGTTGTTGGAAGAAGGGGAGGGACGTTTTGGGCTGAGAAAAATTTTTTTGATAGTTGAATTTTCTTGTTTCGGGGACTTTGTAAAGATGGGGGTCGCATTTGCTGGGAGGAGAGGGTCGTATTTCCAGGGGTCGCATTTGCTCTTGTTGGGAGGAGAGGGTCGTATTTCCCTCCCGACCTTCTAAGAGAGATTGTTGATTTTTTTTGTGAGTTTCTTGTTTCATGTGTTCTTTATACCACTTCCCTCCCCCCCCCTCCCTGCCCGAGAGCTTATGACTCGGTGAGGAGGGAACGAGGTGGGAGGGGGCATACCAACCCCCTAAAAAGAGGAGAGGTGTCGTACGAACTCGAGAAAATCCTCAACAAATGGCGTGCTCTGGAGGAGCTCGTATAG